ACAAAAATCTATCACACCATGCGTTATATATATATATATATATATATCAAGAAAGTGGATTTAACTCTAATTCAACTTTACAATTGTTTGTACAATGAGAATTGTTTCATACTTTTATACATTATAATGACTTAGTTGACATCAGATCTCCACCAAATTAAAACATTGACCTTTTGATTTATTTGTATGAATGATCAAATATAATATTAATATTAGAATTTAGAACATTATTAAAAAGAAAATAGTTTGAGAAAAATAGGAATAGAACATCTTTTAAATGTGACAAAAAGAACATAAAAAAAAAGTAAGTTATTGTATCTTTTGGCATGCATCAAAAAGAAGAAATAAATCCTGAGAAGAGAAAGAGAAATATGACACATATTCATCCTACCAAGTACCAAACACAGTCTCAATTGGAGAGTGTGCTTCTTAATCAGGTCACTCAGTCCAGGGGATATGAACTTCACAATCTGAACATTAGACCCAATAGCAAGAAAGCTCTCACTTAGTTTATCTGGCCGGTGTCCTGTTTTAGTCTTTTAAAAGCGTCTTTATACATTTTGTCGCATAGCAGAAAAAATATAAGCTACATCATTAACAATGATAATTATTTGGAACAGTTTTTTTTTTTTTTTTTGTCCTTTATTTTTTAATTTTTTTGTTGCAACTTCATTGTACCAGAGATACTAGAAAACTCTGACTGGCTTGGTTCAATGAATGGGTATAAAGTTATTTGTTTTCCTTTTCTCCCTTTTTATGGTGGGACAATAGAGTTGTACTTGTTGTGAAAGCAAATGTGTTATTTATGTACCGAAATTTTCATATGATTTATATATTGATTAATAATTATAAATTAGTTAATGAACTAATAATTTATTCTCAATAAACTTATAATATAGTATTAATTCTTTAACCAATTCATGTACATCTTATAACTAAATCTGAAATTATTAGTAAGGAAAAGGCCATAATAATAACTAACCTTTTATAATGGCACTTGCATGGTGAACAATCACATGGAAAATGCATCTAGACACTGTTATGTTTTTGATAAATCAAAAGTATTCCTCACTTCAAAGTTAAGAACTTATTATTTGAAATATAAAATCTATTTAAAAGGTTAATCTCCCTAAACAAATATTTTTTCGTACACACTAATATTAATAATCAAATCTCTAATCATGTATTTAAGGAATAAGATTATCTACTAATCATGTTATATCTTGTGTGAAAAATCATTTCTGTTGCAATAAGAGGAGGGGAAAGAGACCATTAAGCATATTATTAAGCATGAGGCAAGTGTGATGATTCTCACTTGAGTTGGATATAAATCCATTAGGCCGTGGAAAAAAGTGTACATGAAAAAGGCCAACAAGGTTTTATTAGTGATTCTAAATCGCGTAGAGTATCTTGTGCTCGTTGTTTAGTAGCTCAGAATCAGACATAACTGACACTGAAAAAGACCTTGACCTGCTTCCCATTGAAGATTTCCGAATGCTCCTTAAATTCGAGGCCTCAATGCGATGTCTAATGACCCAGTAACACATGGTGCCCAAAGTAATGGCCATTATAGTTGTCCCTATGATTGTGACTCCAATTGCAAGCCACTTCTGGTCCTTCCCCACCACTACAAATGACAGTGCCAAGAAGGCCACAGAAATAAGAACACAAGCCAACCACATAAGCTTGTTAATGATGGCCATCATTTGTTTCTTTGCCTTGCTTTCTATGATCACAACCGAGGTTTGCACCACCACCACAGCCAAAGAGATGAAGAGGGCGATGGAATCGAAGACAAAGAAAATGAGAAATGCAGGTTGTGGGGCTATGTTTGCTTCACCAAGGGTCATCCTTGGAGGGAGAGTTTTTGGATCATCAGCAAATTGGCCAGGGACAGTGAAAATAGCTGCAAAGGCAACTGTGGCAATGAGGACTGCAACCACAGTTGTGGAGTTGATTGCATTGTTGAGTCCTTCAGCGTGCATTTTGTTGATGCGTTTGGCTATGCCCTGGACACCTCTTCTAGTTTGGCGTGTGTGCTCCAACTGGTAGTGGACTTCATGTTTTATGTCACTCACGGTTTGTTTCAACTCTCGGGCTGTACCAGTTGCTGGCTGACCCTTTATGGCTTTCGCGCTTCGAACACCGTGTTCGAGTAGAACGTCTTTGACTTCAGAGTTCCCGGTTTTCTCAGCTGTGTCTAATGCAGTTTCACCAGATCTATTGATTGCCAATGCATCTGTTTCTGCTTGTCCAAGAAGCAACTTAACAATCTGCACAAATAGAAATTAAGAGATCAGACTCTAACATATTTGTCCAACAACTTTGAAATAGATATTAATTAACCTCTTCAACCAGACTGTTACTTTATGGTAGCAATAGATCATTTAGTTTGGATTGCTATATTGAGATGACTCGGTTCCAGAAAATGATGCTGATGAATGTTCCTTCATGTTCATGAATCATGATAGCAATGCTGTTCTTTAACCCCAAATAAAAGTTGTCATGAATGTGAAGCTGGATGAAGACAAGTTCCTAGCCATGAATGTTTCAACATTATCTCCAGTAATTGACTATTCGACTAAAGAGAGTAGGCACTAAAATAAGACCAATCTCTCAAAATTTCCCTCTCTTTTTCTTCTTTCATTCTTATCAATGGTTAAACATGTTAAAAGGCCGTCCTAATTCCAAAAACAATATGCTTTCGCAGACACTTTCAGAATGTAGAAGCCAAGGATCCTACCATGAGACCTAGGTCTAAGCTAACAAAGACCTGAAGTTAAACAGTGTTATGAATATCACAAATCAAAACATTGCTTGGCTGAATAAGATTCAACACTCATAGAAGGCCCGTTCCATATGCATATCTCTTGGAGGTAGAAAATTTTTCACATCTAACATAATGTGAAAGTTGACTCCTTAATTGCCATGCAGAAACACACGTAAACAGCTAAAGGGACCAATTAGGCAATAGGCCACAACTGCAACTATAAATCATATTTCAACCCAAATGATAGCCAAACCTGTTACATTTTTCATTTGTCCCGGGAACAAGAGCATAACAGGTACTAAAAGTCTAACCCAAACATTATTATTCCCAATATGATTAGCCAAATATCATAAATATTTGGAGTATCATTTCCTTTATCTTCATGTAATAATAAAAGATTATGGATTCCTATTTCAAACTAAAAGGCAAAAGGATGGAATTCCTAATACTAGGAGCACTATCAAACCAGATGGTATTCTTTTCAATGCAGGACAGGCACACCATGGAAAATAACAAATTTATCCACATGAATGGTGATCTAAATCACAATCGATTTCTTATCATCATAACCTTACATATGAACTTTTTATGTAAATATTAGCATAATTATGGCAGGCATGGTCATTTACCTGAGCCCTGCCCTTCCTGGTTGCTATATGCAATGCCGTGTTACCCTTATTATCAACCATGTTTATTGTTGAGGGGTCAGCTTTTATCAACTTCTCCACCACCTCCAGGTTCTGTCCCTTCACTGCCATGTGAAGTGCTGTCTGTCCCTTCTTATCAGTCCGCGTTGCAACAGAAGGCTCCTTCTCCAGAAGCGCTTCCACAACCTCCAAATGTCCATTTCTCCCAGCAGAATGCAAAGCTGTTTTCCCATTACTTCTAGCAATGGTTACAAGACTACTACCTGCTTCCATTAGAAGCTTCACTATCTCAGTATGCCCTTGTGTTGCAGCAGTGTGCAGAGCTGTGGTGTTGGATGGATCCACAGTCATTGACAATTCAGGATGAGCCCCCATTAGGATATTCACAATATCTGCAACAGGAGTAACTGTTATAGCAATTACAAAAATAAAAAAATAAAAAAAAAATAAAAGACCAATGTGACCTACATCTAGAGACAGTCAAAGAGATTCAATTTCTTTTTAAAGGACAGATACAAAGAGTCAATCAATGGTATACTATTGCAAAAAACCCAAATAGTACTTCAACTAGGGATAAGACTAAATTAGAATATATAAACGAGAGACAACTCTCACCTTAGAAACTAGTTTTGTAGGATTGAATTAAGTCTAAGCTCATATTGTAAAATGGTATCAAAGCCTATTATGTATTCATTAAAAGGGTCTCCTATCATACTATTCAGGAATTAAGCTCAATCTTGTTGAGCGTGGAAGTTTATTGAGAAAAATCCAAATCCTACATCTTTTAGAGATAAGGCTATCTAAAGATCACACACCATAAAAGAACAAGAAAGCCCATTGAAGACATACCAAAATCCCCTTGTTTGGCAGCAATGTGGAGTGCATCAAAACCATTCCTTGCTTTAATTCCAGCATCAGCAAGATCATAATACTGAATCATCTCCCTAACCATATCGACATAGCCATATTCAGCAGCAACATAAAGAACTGTTTCCCCAGCATGGTTCTGCTTTGTCAACAACGCACGCAATTCACCCTCTTCAGCACCACTAACTGTGTCCTTCAGAACACTCAGATTCCCTGCTCTTGCTGCAGAGTGCAAAGGTGTATCATCCTTTTTACCTGTCAACTGTTTGGTCATCTTTTTCCTTGGCGTGCTTGTTGACGCAGCTTGTGGCTGCACATTTGGTGTCTGAGTCTCCATCGGAATTGGATTCACTTACCAACCTAATGAATCTCTCTCACTTTTGACTCTAATCACTGAATATCAGAATTCAGAACCTTCTTTTCTTCCTTCCAGCAAAAACCCAGATCAACTCTAGCATCTTTCATCCCAAATAATTCTCCCTCCTTGAAAACAACACAAAGGAGAGAATCATCAAAAATCAATACCAAATAAAAAATAAAAAAAAAACTCAAAATATCAGAAAATTTTCATCCTTCTGGAAGCCTCCAGAATCATTGCACTGGTGGGTGGTGGCCACCAAAAAAACAACTGAGTTAAAAGTTAAAACCACAGCACCAAGCAATGTTTTTTTTTTTTTCTTTCAAGTTTTATTGCATTTTCTTCACGTTTAAGAGAAAGTGGGGGAGTGAAGTTTTAAATGAAGCAATCAAAGGTGCAAATTTTAAAAAAAAATATATATTTTTTTTATCATAGTGAGTTTGAAGGAAGAGTCTGCGTCTCACCTTGATGTGTTGTCCTTAGTAGAAAGCATTAAGATTTGAGGGTAGCTTTGGTTGGACACCCTGTAATGTAAACCAACCAACTTTGGGTTTGGGAGATAGAAGAAGAAGAAGAAAAAAAAGAGTGATTTGGAAGAGGCAATGAAAATTGAAAAGAAAAAGCGTAGGGAATAGAGGGCAATGATTAAGATTCAAGAGAGAGAAAAAAAAAAAAAAAAAAAAAAAAAAAAAAAAA